GCCACCCAGAGTCCCCCATTGGGGGGAGATGGGCAGGGGACAAATTTAATAAAAAAATAAATAAACAAACAAATGATGTCAGGTTTGACATTAATCCTGGGTTTAGCAATGAAATAAGAAGCTGGGCTGCTTTTTAGATCTATTGAAATATATTGAACTCTATATAAATGAAAACAAATTTTCATACCTAATGGAGACTGATTATATATAATTTATAATATTAAATAATATGATATTTACCTGTTTTTCCTGTACCTTCACGCTGTGGCAGCTTCTCATTTAGAGATCCTAAAAGGTAAGGCAAAAAGAAAAGAAGAAACATTGAAAGGGATTAGTTGTGTAATCAAAATTCAAACTGGAGTAGGAGAATTGCTGCTTAGGCATTTATTAAAGCAGAGAGAGAGAAGAATGAGGTTTTTGGTAACTCTCTTACTTCATAATGTATCATTCTATAAAATTATTCTATATTCCTGGACTCATAGCGCTTGACTCATAGGAAACTTTTACAGAAGAAAACAATTTTAAGATACTGTAAAAAAAAAAAAAATTGCACGGAAATCGTAATGAACAGTGGCTGCATCACATTTTCAGCAATAACTTAACACCTGTTTCAAAAGTTCCTTCCCTCTCCCAAAGGCTTGACATCTCTGGAATGTCTTTTAGCTCCCTAAATGTTGATCTCTTGACTCAGGGAGTAGTAAAAATGTCTGTGTTGCATCTGGTGCATTTCAGCAAACAGTTTGTGGAGGATGGGAACATATAACTTTATGCTGTCAATGAAGCCCATCTGATGTACTCTGTACCTCTCAAGTTGTCCAGTGCTCTCACAATAGTGGACTAATGGAGGAGGGAGGAGAGGTCTGTCTCACTGTTATGAGTTACAACATGACTTCAAACATCTGATTGGATTGTACTTGGATGGGGAGTATCTAAGAGAGGAAAGTATGTAAATGGGTTCAAGCTGACACCTGACTTCTTTGACAATAATGAAAAACAAAAACATCTGGATCAAGTATGCATTCCATTCCCATTGATCTAAATGGTTTTGCCTGAAAGAAGTTGAAACATATTAGTAATCAAAAGGTCAAACAATCAGGAATGCTATTTACATAGAGTTACACTACTGTCAGCATACAGTCAGGTAACAAATTATCAGAGATTTCAGTCAATTGGTAGACTACTGAAGGTTGAATCAAGGAGATTTGAATTAGCTATAAAGTATGGTGGGTGGTCTAATGGACATAACCTGAATAAATCTAGTGAAGATTCAAACAGACCATCAAATGGAGAGTGGCTGGATAGTGGTAATAGATAGGGGTATTGTCTGCCCAACAATTAACAAAGGAAGAAAATCCAAAGGAAATAAGCCTTAGATAATGCAGTTAGTGGTTAATTTATCTTCTAATAATTTTAGGTTGGAGGAATGTGAACTTTTAAATAAGCATTGTCCCCAGCTCTGCAACTTTAAAAAAGTGGACATTTTTAAAAACAAATTGCAGTCATGGTCCAAAAGAGTGCAAGAAACACAAAAAGTATAGCAATTTGATATGCACACATTTCCATCTAAATACATACATGCCTGCTACAAAAATACAGTCCTGTTACATGAAATTCCAACTTGTGAAAGATCCCTTTTTATGTAAAATATGTGACTCAAAAGACACATGTCACAAGCTCCTGTTTCATAAAATAAATTTAGATTGTCATTTATCAGAAATTTGAGTGAATGGCTTCAATCAAACCTGCTATAGAACTTGTGGTTGCTACAAGTTACATTACATTGGATCCAGTTACACTGAACTTTTTGCAAAAGTACTATGTTCCGAGTTATCTCCAATGGTCAAAATTCTCCCCAGTTCATACTGAACTTCAGCTACATCATGCTCACATGTGCATTCAAAGAAAATCCTGTAAAATATGCTGAATTTACTGGAACTTATTTGGCTGGGGACAACTGCCTGCTGCTGTTAGATCTTCCATTTATTGTCTTTGGGAAAAAAAAATCCTTAAGATCTGGAAACCATTTTATTGACACATCAAAGGGATTACTATGGGCAAGCAGTTTATTAGGATAACCGAGGCAATTTCTTTCCCAAAACCAAACCAAAAACCCAAATTGAAGGGATCTGCTTCCTGAAGGAAATACAGCTGCCATCAACTATATTGAGAAGCCATGTCCCTCCCTCCATCAAGTGCCACTTGGCAGTAGCCATTCCATCAGGCTACAGAAGAGAAAAAGATGGGAACAGGATTACTCCATCAGCTCAGCTGGAAGCTCTACTTTTTATTTTATTTTATTTTATTTTTACTTCTCTCCTTCAACTGTTTTCTATTTGGCCTTTAAAAACACTGTAACTAAGAATTAGTGAATGAGTTCACTTTTCTTTCTCCCCTCCAGATCACTTTTTCTATAAGCTTGTGAACAGGGACAATCTTAGTTTTACTGATACATCAGCCACTCTTTTTGCGGGGAGAAGAAAAGATCCATAGAGGTTTCTGAGGGATCAGAGGAGTAAACTGCAGGATATGTTGTTGATGTTGTTGTGTTGTGTAACTGGGAGTGGCCTGATCTGGTATAGAATGGAATAACATGGTATAATGTTGTTTAAGCTTCCCACTACATTGGTTTAGATAAATGTACACACTCCTTTGTTTAGAATGATTTATTCCACCTTTATACCAGAAAGACTTCTAAAAACAAATGGGTTAGGAGAACAATAAAATTCCTTCACCCTCATTTCAATTGGGGCAATTGTGTACTTACATTCCAAAGGAAAAAACTGATGAACACTGGAATGGTGGCTGCATGATATGTATTTTATAGATTGTGGACTTTTAACTGATAGTCATAACTTTGTGCTTGAAGACTTGCTTCCAAAGCAATAATTTACATCAAAAATATTCATGAAAAACAAACACATTTAAAGATTTTTTTCCCCCCATGAAAAGTACTACACTGCCTCCTTCCATGGCTCTCACTGAAGCATTCCCTGTTCTAGTTATCCAAATATTCAGCACTGGGTCAGCTGTTTTAACAAGACAGGATGCACAGGGTCAAGTCTGCAGACAACCAACTATGGTCACTTGTCCAAGAATCATGTCTACATCCAAAGGACAAGCAAACTGAGTGGAGTATTGTAGTTGGACAATATAAAAACACAATCAATAAATATATAATAGAGATAGAGATAAATAGTATTATTCTGCATCTTCACCTCATTATTTTTTCATGCCCAGGATACAGGTTTTTTTAAATAGTCAGTTGGAATACTGAAAATGCACCAAGTGTTTTAGTAGCAACAAAAACACAATTGTTCAACCTAGTATCTATTAGTGAGGCAAATCTTAATTTATCTTTAAAACAGGAAGGAAATGTATACCATTTTAAACATGGTCTTTCAGAACAAGCATTTAAAATTGCTGTTTTGAACTTACTTTGACTTTTTTTTTTCAAAAGTTGTACAATTCTATTATTTCTAGATACAGTGTTCAGTATAACATGACATTTATTTGAATTTGTATGCATTCCCACTGCGGATCTTTAAGACTATATCTTTTTTTTCTGAAGTATATGTTATATGTTAACATTGTGAACATTTTTTCCCTGACTAGAATTGCAAATAAAATTAGTAGATGAGAGACAGAAAATCAATTTGATTATACAACATGCAATTCTCACCAAAATCATCTCAGCCTTCAGCCCCACAGACTTCCTTTGATAAAAATTTTGCTTCCATTTGGTCAAGATCACTCACAGCAATACAATCTCGACCCTGTTTTTACACCTGTATGAATAGGATACACTGATTCTCCAGAATGCTATAAGCAACTGTGTTAATTGGTGTAGTTTGAACTGGGCAGGTCTCAAATTATTTGGGAAATGCCTTTTTATCTGGCATTATGCTTGTTGGTCTTTACCTAAAATACAGATAATGATATTTATACTGGCAGTTTGTGATCCACACAAGCTACTACACAGTGGACAAATATAATAATGTGTTCAACCAGTACCTTATAAGCACTGGTATGTAAGGTCCAAAAAACAAATCTGTAAAGGAAACTTTTTGGACTTCAGAACTGAAGCGCTATAATGGGAACATTTTTTTCCTCTACTCTCTTGTAGGAAACCAGAATATGGGCAATTGCCATGTGAACGCAAGATGATCCCAAACTATCCTGTTTGGAAACTGCTTTGTCCTCATTCCTTTTTTTTTTTTTTTGCATTTACAAAAATGCTAATTTTGTATTTAAAAACAGTAATATTGGAAAAGTCTGACATTTACAAAACAATCACGATAAAATATAGGTTGCAACTTCATGAGCATCAGTTTGGATTGAAAATCTAAAGCTAACTTAGATTTAGAACACTAATCTTCTATTCATATCCAAACCTCTCCCCCAGCATAATTCTGCTGTCAATTTTATGAATGTACGCCATTGACCATAATAAAATTTATGCCAGAATCCCAAGTATAGAATTGCAGCCTGAATGTCATGCTCAGGTCATTTGAGTTTCACGCTGAAGATTTATACAATTATACTCTTTAAAATAAGGTCAGCAGGAAATTGGTTTATTGTTTAAAGTACAGTTATCTATTACTCTGTGACATAAAGTTCATGGCTCCACTGAAATGATAGGAAACCAAACCACAGAGAAACCAAGAAGAATGATAAATCTAATACAATGTGATGCTCAATAGTGAAAATATAAGTTGGACTATTGCAAGTTATTCTACTTGGGGCTACTTTTGAAAAGCATCCAGAAGTTGCAACTGGTGTAAAATGGGGCAGCTAGGCTGCTAACCAGTGGTTGGATGCGGGGATCTCATAAAACTGGAATTGAAAGATCATCACTGGTTGGGAACTGCTTACCAGGCATAATATAAGGTGCTGACATGCAGTTTTAGAGCTCCAAATAGCTTAAGTCAGGTCCACTTCTTACAAACCTATTTGGGCAATAAGATCTGCAAAGGAGGTCCCCCTGGTTTGTGTGTGTGTGTGTGTGTGTGTGTGTGTGTTTGCATGTACCTTCAAGCCATTGTTGATTCCTGGAGACTTCCTGGACTAATCCCTGCAGTTTTCTTGGCAAGGTTTTTTGGAAGTGGTTTGCCTCTATCTTCTTCCTAGGACTAAGAGAGAGCAACTACCCCAAGGTGACCCAGCTGGCTTTGTGCCTAAGGTGGGACTACAACTCACAGTCTCCCCCTTTCTAGCAAGAGCCTTAACCACTACACCAAACTGGTTTGCTGTCTCTTTCCTCCTGTTGTTAGAGACTCATTTATCTGGCATGTAAGAGAAGGCTTTCCCCTGTGTTGCTCCCAAGCTGGAGAATGCATTCAACCCTCACTGTAGAACAAAAGCCAACCTCTTACTTGTTAACTGACATCTGTGCAGTTTTGAATTATTATTTTTGTATTCTACATTTTATTTATTGTTAGAAGCATTTGAATAGAAAGGTACAATAATAAACAAATATTCAGTTTGGCAGGTAACTTCTGTATGTGGATAATTTGGTTCCATGTATCATGATAGATATAGAGTAAGAAAAGGTAAGAACAGTTTCTGCCACAATAACATATATATAGTTACCTGGGCAACGTGGAGTTTTATGTGCTACAGCTGTACCACTGATTGGACGACCATTAGGGGTGACACACCAACAGTAGCCTGTGTAACTATGGCACTGAACCTGTGAAAAAATGCCAAGTATTTGAAACTCAGAAAGAATATTTTAATATGTCACATTTTCTTGAGAGAGAATGCTGAGTTTTTTCCAGTTAGCATCTATAATAATTGAATCTTCCTTTTCAGAGTTTTGCAAAACCTAGTATCACATCAAAATCAGTAGGCCCATTTGTTTTTATGGATTATATTAAATGGATAAAGCTTGAAACTTGGATGAGAATAGACAAAACCTGAGCCTCATGATCTGATTGGGGAACCACTAATAGTATCTTCAGCAGATATTCAATGACAGCTCATTCAGAATGCAGTCATTTTTTTCCTCCTAACTATTGCATAGATGGAAAAATAAAATGATGTAATCTGAGTTGATTATAATTCAAATCAAGTCACAACTTTTCTCAAATTAGTCTTGTATGGTAATTTAATATGAATTAAGCCTGTCCATTTATTTTTCTCAATTTGGGGGAATACCAGTAAAGAAAAAATAATTATCTGAAGACCTGCAGCGTTAGAGGATTCTTCCCTTATTTCTAAAAGAACAGCTTAATGGAATGGTAGAATGAAAACTACTCTGGTTTAGTGGTTATGGGGTTGGACCCAGGTTCTGGTCCACTCCCAGCCAAACAAACTCCCTGGGTGGCTTTGGGCCAGCTATTTTCTCTCTTAGCCCAATGTTTCTCAACAGGTTGTTTTTGTGAGGAGGGAGTGCAATGTATGTTGCCTTGAGCTCCTAAATAAAAGGTAGGATATTAATCTTTTAAATAAGCAAATTCATAGAGCACATTCTATCCTCATTTAAAAGGCATAATAACACATCACACTGTAGCAGTATTCTCACTGGCCCTCCTGGTGGAAAGAAAAGAGTGGGCCATTCTGTTCCAAATCAGGCAAGAACACTGTGTCTCTCTCAGACTACTACTTCAAATAGCAGAAAACACTTTGTTATAAAAGCAAAAAAAAAAAAAATTTTTTTTCAAAAGTCACAAACACCTCTTTTTTGTGTTTGTGTGTAGAGGGGTACCTTACAAAAGTATGGAATGGATATTCAGCCCAACACTTCATTAACTGAGATTAATTAACTGCATTAACTCTCCATACCTGAAGCCCTGTTTGCCGTGAAGTTATCCAAATCATATCAAATCAGCTAAAATACAGGCTACCTAAGGCTGCAGCTACCTAAACTTTCCAGTTAGTAAACCCTATTCAGCTGAGCAGAATTACCAAAATAAATTTACTGAAATTACCCTAATAAGTTTTATTCACAGCATAGTGTCTGATCAATAAGGAGCAGTCATGCAATCCATCAAAAACAGTGTTTCATTGTTAGAAAGACAGTAACTGAATATCAGCTTACCCTTTGTAAAGTTTATGCTTTCAATAGAAGAGAATATATGTAGCTCAGGGTTGAACTGTGGAGTCCATGGTGCTCTCTAAGCTTGGTTGTTTGCTTGCAGATGTTTCATTACCCAACTAGGTAGCATCATTAATACTAGTGAGTGTGGAGTTTGCTCCCTGTTTATATACAGTAGCTCGCCCAGCCAGTGTTGGTGGGAGTGTGGTTTTCTCCTTGGTCATTCCTTGACCAAAACCAAACCAAAAGACCCAATAGCCCAAGAAGAAAAAACAGGAGTCATCTACAACATACAGTTTAAGGACTGTAACAGCCACTATGTAGGACACACATGCAGAAGACTAGCAGAATGCATCCGTGAACACCAATTAGTAGTCAGAAGACATATTGAAAACTCTTAAATCTCACAACACATGGACAGACTCAACCATAGTTTCAACTGGGAAACTGTGAGCATCCTA